TAAAGCCGTGTGGTAGGTGCTGTTGTGAGGAAGATATGATCCCTTTCCTTATAAAAAGTGTCCACTCTAGTTAGAATGTCAGATAAATGGATTATTTCAAATATGTACAAAGTTCAGAGATGTAATGCAGAGGAACTCAGGATTAAGTCTGTTCTAGAAAAATGAGGCATAAGAAGATCCACGGAAAAGGTGATGAGTTAGCAGGTTTTGCAGACTGAAGAGGAGTGTGCAGGCAGACAATAGGTAAGATCATCCCAAGCAGAGAGAAGAGCACGTACAAAAGTCGTCAAGTGTGGTGTGAGTGGAGAACTACAAGTAGTTTGATATTTCCGGAGGATCATCAGATGCAGGGAGGTGGAGGGTGTTGAGAGTTTAACCTGAAGAGTTAGGCAGAGGTCACATGACACAGCGCCTTGTATGTTATGTCAGGGAGTTTGAAAATTATCTTGCAGGCAGTGGGAGGCATTAGTGTTTGTTTGAGATCATTTTGGTAGCAATGTAGAGGGTATGTTGGTGGGGAGAGAACAGGGGAAGGTGTATGGAGGATATTGCTTCTAAGGTGTCCAAGAATGAGATATTTATTAGCTTGAACTTGTGTCAGGTGATGGCAATGTAGATGAAGAGTCAAAAGATACCTAAGAGGCAGAAGGAAAAGGACTTGGAGAGGGAGGGTAAAAGAATACTCGGGATGAATTCCCAGGTTGCTTGTTGAAGCAGCTGGGAGAACGGTGTTGCCTTTTCAGAGAAAAGGAACAGTGGAAGAGTAAAAGGTTTGAAGGAAAATGATAAACTTAGTTTGGAATATCTAGGTTTGAGGTATCTGTGAAACATCTAAGTAGAGAGAGTTTGTAGGCTACAGGGCATACAAGTCAGGAGTTCATAGGAGAGGTACAAGCTGGAAATGTAAAAGTAAGAGTCTTCATCCTGCACCAGAAGCTTTGACAGTGAATGAGACAGAGGTGAGTGTGTGTACATGGCCGGGGCAGGGAGAAACGGGCCTGAGGGCCTCTGTGTTCACAAAAGAAGCCGAGAAGTGGCCAGAGAGGGAACTGTCTGAACTAGACAAACAGAGTAGTCCCAGATAATGAAAGGCAAAGAAATCATTGAGAAGTTGAATTAAAGGAATTTTCTAGCTGGATTCTTGAAAGGGCAATGGAGAGGATGGAGCCAATAATGACTTCAAAGTTTCTGGTTTGGGTAATGTCATTACCTGGCATGAGAGATACTGGAGGTAAATCAACTGGGCATGGTGACATATGCCTGTAGTCCCAGCTACTTGGGTGGCTGAGGCAGGAGGATTGCTAGAGCCCAAGAGTTTGAGGTTGCTGTGAGCTACGATGACACCACTGCTCTTTAGGCCAGTGACAGAGCAAGACCTCGTCTCAAAAAAAAGAAAAAGAAAAAAGAGATACGAAGGTAAAGCAGGTTTGGGGATAAAAGAATGAGTTCAGTCCTGTGATGTACTCAGGGTAAATGAAAATGTCCAGCAGGCCATCGGATTTAGAGGTTTGAAGCTTACAGGAGATGTCAGGGCTGTGCTGGGGAACAGCCAGGATGGGTAACCTAAGCATCATAATATATTAAACCACTTATACAAAATATATAATAGAAAGTATATGATACAAGTATGTCACCAGGGACACATAATATAGCAAACCACTGGTACAAAACATCAAGCCATTAACACAAAGTATATAAAAGAAAATGACTGATACAAAGTATGTAAAGGTCTTTAAAGGGTTTTAAATTTACTTAGAATTATATTCAGCAATATTCTCAGCAATGTGGTCTAAATGCAATGTTAACATATTATTAAAGTCTAAATTATTACATGATATGTTCAAAGAAAATTGGTTTGTGAATGTTTGCATTTATATGTCCTTAATTTGCATAATGCCCTCTACTGATTATGGGTTTTTTTTTTTTTTACTAATTATGGTTTGAAGCTCATCCTTGATCTTGCCAGTTATATAGTATTATACTCAAGACAGAAAATCTAGGCTTGTGTTCAAACAACAAAAGCAATTTTTTCTTTTTCTTGCAACCATTCTATCATCACCCCAAAGATGTATAAGTTCGTAAATATCCGGCATGGACCAACCTATGGCAACTCCAGGAAAACCACATGCTGCTTCCTGATCCGGAGCATATTGCCTCCTCTTCCCATCATAAATATAACTTGGGGACCACTCCTGGTGCCTCCTTGCCCCGTTTCCTGGATTTTGCCCCCTGTAATTATATTAGTTTCCTAGGGCTGCTGTGACAAAGTATCACAAACTGGGTGGCTTAAAACAACAGAAATTTATTCTCTCACAGATCTGGGGGCTACAGGTCTAAAATCAAGGTGTTGGCAGGGCCATGCTGTCTCTGAAGGCCCTAGGGGAGGATTCTTCCTTGCCTCATCCTAGCTTCAGTATTTGTTGGCAATCCTTGGCATTCCCTGGCTTACAAATGCCCCCAATCTCTGCCTCTGTCTTCACATGGCTGTCTTCCCTGGGTATGGGTCTTTGTATCTGTTCTCCTCTTCTTGCGGGGACATCAATCACATTAGATTAAGGGCCCACTCTACCCCAGTATGACCTCGTCTTAACTAATTACATCTGCAATGACCCTATTTCTAAATAAGGTCATATTCTAAGGTTCTGGGAAGAAAATGAATTTGAGGGGAAGGGTGGTAGTGTTGGTGGCACTGTTATCCAGTACAGTAACCAAGAGTTAAGTGAGTAAGGAAAGCACTTTGGCTGGGCATTCCACCCCTGTCCCCTGTTGGGGCTTGGAAAATGATACCTCAGGCCTGCAATGGTGGCTCATGTAATCCCAGCACTTTGGGAGACCAAGGTGGGAGTGTCGCTTGAGGCCAGGAGTTTAAGACCAGCCTGGGCAACATAGTGAGCCTATCTCTACAAAAAAACATCTAAAAATTAGCCTGGTATGGCAGCACATGCCTGTAGTACTACTTGGGAGGCTGAGGCAGGAGGATGGCTTGAGCCCAGGAGTTTGAGGCTACAGTGAGCTATGATGATGCCATTGAACTCCAGCCTGGGTGACAGAGTGAGACCCTGTCTCTAAAAAAAGTTAAAATTAAAATTAAAAAAAGAAAATGATACTCCATCATATGGCACTATGACATACCGAACTAAAGAAGCAGCAGTTTCAACATGTCTTGAACACCCTATCTCTCCCAAAGCACAAGATAAGGCTGTTCTCTGAAATTCTCTTATCTGCCTAGAAACTGGACCCACCAAAGAGGAACACAGTTGCCTTCAATCCCTTCCCTAAAATTTCATTAACCAAAGAAGATTAAAACTCATATCACAGAAGAAGAGACTTAAAATTAAACACCATACCTGGAGCCCAGATAGATTCTGTTCTCTGGCCCCATTCAATTTCCAAACTGAATTATTTACTAACTATTGTCTGAGCATTGGGTCCATTTATGTCTCCTAAAATCATTTACTATCCCAG